AGCAGAATGGAGAGAGAGAAAATCACCCAATGTTGTAATTCATGGCGCTTTGTGGTCTCCTACAGATAGCCAGAAGAAACGGCCATTCTTCTGCTCATGTATCCTTACAGCCCTACGTCACACAGCTGCTCTTGCTGTTCCCTTAATGGATTACATTACAGCGTACTTTGACAGAACAAAACTTTTGTGGATGCCTTTGTGATGTCAATCACTGATAAAAATAGGTCACCTGAAAACAATTATTTATATGGGTACACATCCCTCTGACTCAAAAGAAGAAAAGAAACAAAAGAAGGCCTTTTGGTTGGAAAATAAAGGTTGTAGAAACTGATTACCGGTCCTATTTTATAGGTGTTAATGAAAGTAGCAGCAGAAAAAATTAAAAAAAAATTAAAGAAAAAGCCTGCATTTCATTAACTTTACAACCGATTTCAACAAAAATTCAAATAAGAGTCTCAATTTCTGTGTAAAAAGAATGCCCCTAGAGAGGCACTGCACCCTTTTCAACAAATGTACTGGTTTATGAAATAAGTTTTAATTCTGTATTCCTGTCCTGCATTTTTCAGTCACTTTTCAGACAGGATTACAGTCATTGTCTTGAAATAGCAAAATCCAGAATAAAACTGTTAAATAATGAATGTCAGCTGCCTGTATCTGGGATGCGTTCTTCTAGTCACAATCCAAACACTCTCAACCAAATATGACAGATAGGATTTGGGCTTACCAATAAATGCAGAGCTTTCTTCACCACAACGGGCCAAATTAAGCAACAATGATTTGCTGGTGCATCTGTAAAACAGAATGCTACCATAGATCTTTCATCCCCTCTGTTGTAAGAGTGTAAAACTCCTCAGATGAAGCTGATGAATGAGCGGATGAATGCTCAACTCCCCATGGTGACAAGGCATTATCCTGGTGCACAATAACACCAATAATAACTATAACAACAACAACAACAACAATAATAATAATAATAATAATAATAATAATAATACATTTTATTTAACAGCATCTTTCAGGACACCCAAAGACACTTTACAGCAATGGGAAAAATAATAAAACAAGATAAACACAGTACAGAAATATGTAAAAACACTAAGATGCTACAATTTAAAACAATGTAGTAAAACTATGTGGTAAAAGCTTTTATGAAGTGGTGGGTTTTGAGCTTTGATTTAAAAAGTGGGAGAGAGTGAGTGGTGCATAGATCAGGGGGAAGAGAATTCCAGAGGTGGGGAGCAGAGCGGATGAATGCTCAACTTCCCATGGTGACAAGGCGAGCGGGGGGAGCCGAGAGTTGAGGAGCAGAAGAGGAGCAGGAGGAACGAAGAGCACGGACAGGAGTGGCGATGTGAATGAGATCGGATACGTAGGATGGAGCCAGGTTATGGAGAGCTTTGAATTTGATGAGTAGAATTTTGAAGCTGATTCTCTGTTTAATGGGCAGCCAGTGAAGTTGTTGCAGGATGGGGGTGATGTGATGAGATGATGGAGTCCTAGTGATGACACGAGCTGCAGCATTCTAGAGAAGCTGCAGTTTATGGAGGGATTTGCTGGGGAGACCAAAGAGAAATGAGTTGCAATAATCAATGCTGTGGACAAGGATGGCAGTGGTGGAGGGAGTCAGTGATGGACGGAGACGGGAGATGTTATGCAAGTGAAAATAAGCAGACTGGGTGATATTGTTGAGGTGAGATTTAAAAGAAAGCGTGCTGTCGAGGATGACACCCAGACCCTTAACGCAAGGGGAGAGAGTAACTGCTGAGTTATCAATAGAGATGGGGAAACCATTAGACTTGGAGAGAATATGAGGTGTACCTACCAGGAGGACTTCAGTTTTAGAACTGTTCAATTTGAGGAAGTTGGAAGTGAACTAAGAATGGATGTCTTGGAGACAGGGGGTAAGGGAGGAAGGTGGGAGTAAAGTTGAGGGTTTGGTTGCGAGGGAGAGCTGGGTGTCATCCGCGTAACAATAAAAATCAATGTTGTGTTTACAGAAAATGTGACCAAGTGGGAGAAGGTAAATGATGAAAAGAAGGGGCCCCAGGACAGAGCCCTGGGGCACACCAGCAAAAACAGGAAAGAGATTGGATCTATAGGACTTCAGTTGAACAAATTGTGTACAGCCATAGAGGTAGGAGGTGAACCAGCAAGAGGAATGTCAGTGGTACCTAAGGATGACAGTCTGCTGAGGAGAGTAGTATGGGAGATGGTGCTGCAAAGCTCTGGAATCCAAGTTTTTTACTTGTGGTTTTTAGTGGTTGAAGGAAACATTACTAGCTCATTGCCTATGTGGAAATACATATACCTTTGTTATTATTTTTCTTCAAATTACTCTCCTAATTGTTGGTACTGCTGTAACAAGTGAATTTTCCCACTGTGGTATCAATAGTCTGTTCTATCGCTCATTACATTACCCTTACAAACGTTACCCAATTGCAAACAAGGCACCAGAATACTTTTGTTGATCCCATTGATAGGTGTACCCAAAATAACTATAAATAAATGAAGTGCACACCCGTTTTCACTTAAAGTTTTGCAGAAGGCTGCTGAATCACGTTTCCCTTTTTTTTTTTTTTTTCCAGGTTAGACAATGTTGGTATGTGGATGGTTCAATTCCAGGAAATGCTTGCAGTTTCAGAGTAGTCGCACTGATCCAGATCCAGTCCCCAATGGGATTTAAACTATGCGCTGCACCACTGGCAACTTGCAAACTCAAATACTACAATAAACCCCTTATAGCTGAGTTTCAAGCAGGGAGGCATTGGGTCCCATTTTTTTCCCCCCCAAAGTCTTTGGTATGACCCAACAAGGATTGGAACCCTGATCTCACAGTCTCAGGGCGGACGCTTTACTTCTAGGCCACTGAGCTGGTGTCTTCCAGTGAAGAAGCGGAGCTTGGGGACTTTTGGTTGGGCTCTCCAATCTCAGGTGCTGAGGTCACTGAGGTGGTCAAAAAGCTCCTCGGCAGCAAGGCCTCAGGGGTGGATGAGATCCATACGAAGTTCCTTAACCCTCCTACTCTCCTATAATGGGTGACGCCGTGAGGAAAGTTGACCATTGAGCAGGATTGATGGTTTATCCCTTGAGGTCCACGTGGCAGGGGTGAGGAGTGAGCACCACCTCACCCCTGCCACGTGGACCTCAAGGGATAAACCATCAACCCTGCTCAATGGTCAACTTTCCTTGCGGGGTCACCCATTAGAACAGTGGGAGGGTTAAGGCTCTGGATGATGTAAGACTGTGTTGGTCCATGTGGCTCTGCCATATTGGGTGGACATCAGAGGCAGTTCCACTGGATAAGAAGATTGGGGTGGTGGGCCCCCTATTTATGTCTCTCACCACTTGAGCTATATTTTGTGCTACTTAGTGTCGGTGTATCACAAAAATCTCATAACAGAGATGCCACTCCACATGGACCTATATGTTATCTTGCTTTGTCCTGTGTTGCTAGGACTCCAAATGGAAAAGCCAGAATCAGGCATCATCCATATGGTTTTGGTTCCTCCCGAGCACACCCAGTGCTGCCTTTAACTGTTTTGACAAGTATGAAGCAGCTGGGGCGGATGTGACTCCTTTAGCTGCCCTGATTCTGCTCTGTCATTTTATTTCCCCTGCCGGCCGTTGCTTATTGCACCATCATAAAGACTGAGAATGAGATTGAGAAAAGAATGAGAGTAAACCCGGCCAGGCAGTATTGACTGACCCCCCGTTTTCCTCTGAGACAAAAAAAGTCAACTCGCTCTTGGCTTTCCGTTTCTGTTTCCTCCACTTTTTTTTTTTCATTTTTCTAAAACTCTCTTCTCCTCTCCAGAAAACACTGGAGTCTTATTGTGAGTTAATCTCCAGCTGAGAGTCAAGATGTGGGACCCAAATCAATGTGACTCTGTCATTGATAGCTGTTAGAGTGGCTCAAATGCCAGAATAGCTGGAGAGGATTTAAGTTTTTCTTTTTTAAAGTGACTGAAAAGGGAAATTAAAAGGAGGAAGAGTGATTTTTAACAACAAACATTGTTCAGACATGGTAATCTGATGTCCTGAGACATTTAAACACATAGGCAGACGGGCAACGGGAGGTGGTGTCTGCTGTGTTTGTAATCGAGAGAGGCCCTGTTGCTTTTTCTACGTACTGCTGTGCTCTGCCTACTGTGAAGTGCTGCAGCAGCGAGTCTGAAAAGTATGCAAAAGGAAGAGAAGATGGGGTGGAGGGTTAGAATGTCCAGAAAAGTTTGAATGTGTCTCTAAACAAACCTCTCAGGGTGCAGCTGAAAGAGAGGAGAAAATCAAATAAGGAGGAAATAAAACTTATTACTAAAAGAAAGAGGAAAAATGTAAAAATATAGTAACATTTATTTTAGGCACTATATCTGTCAAAGCAGAATAAAGATGAATAAATAAAAGGTCAGTATAAGGATGGTAGATTAGTAAAAAAAATAAAATAAAATTCATGTGTTTAGGCACACACACATTAAAATGATCAAAAAAACCTAGAAAAAGATAAGTAAAAGAGTTAAACAGCATGGCTAATATCCCAAATGAGGCTAACAAGCTTTTCTTTTCCCAGTGTGAAGAATTTAGTGAAGTTTTTTTTTTTTTTTTTTTTTTTTGAAGTGGGATTTTATCAAGTTAGGCCTCTATCCACAGGCGACATGTAAAACTTTAACTTTAAGCAGTCGGGTAATGTGAGATTCAGATGCATTTTGTGAGTTTTTTGAGGAAAAGTTGTATTTTAATACAGAAATTAAAGTCTGGCCAAGCATTACTGTATTCTGAGGACATCACTGTGTTTCTAGAGCTTGCTTTAGATCAGGGGTTCCCATTTCCGGGGTCGCGACCCCCCCGGGGGTCGCAATACGCCCCTGCTGGGTCGCGAAACAAGGCTCTTTACGGCAGTTCAATTTGCGACCGACGGGTTACTTTGCAGCGCCGCGGTAAACACGTTTCTTCTGAACAACTGAAATATTCCAAAACGTTTTACGGTAATATTGTTTATATGCAATATGAAGCGCTGGTTAACACAGATTAGAGACAACAAACAGAAGCCAACTGATCATGCAGCAGCAGACTCAGAGAACAGCGGGGGTCCGCCTTCCACATCTGAGGCGGGAGGAGGAGCCCATAAACTGCTGCGCAAGGCGCAGCTGAATCAGCCTTCGCCTAAATTTTGCAGGTATCGAGAGGAATATATCCAGTATGGATTTACGTGCACTGTTATAAACGAAATACAATACCCCCAATGTGTATTGTGCACTGAGTTGCTTGCAAATGAGAGCTTTAAGCCTGCAAAAATGCTCCGACATTTGAAGACTAAGCACTCCTCATTTGCAGCTAAACCAGCAGACTTCTTCCGTCGAAAAGAGAGAGCATTTCAAAGCCAAAAGAAAGTTATGACCAACCAGAAAACAATCTCTGCAAAAGCTCAAAAGGCATCATATGAGGTGGCATATTTAATTGCACAGGCAAAAAAACCGCACACAATTGGAGAGATCCTAATAAAACCTGCTGCCATCGCAATGAGCCAAATAATGCATGGGGATAAACAAGCCCAGGAGCTGAAAGCGGTCCCGCTGTCTGATGGGACAATATCCCGGCGCATCACAGAGATGGCGCAGGACATCAAGTGTCAGTTGATTGACAGAGTCAAGAGAGGAAAATACGCTTTGCAGTTAGATGAATCCATAGATGTCGCAAACTCTGCACAGCTGCTCGTTTTTGTCAGATACAGTTTTGATGGAAAACTTCACGAGGACATGCTGTTTTGCACCACACTGTCAGCAAAGTGCACAGGTGAGGACATTTTCACAGAAATTGATCAAAAACTGAAAGAGGAGGGGCTGTCTTGGGATGAATGCATCAGTGTGTGCACAGATGGTGCTGCAGCAATGCTGGGGAAAAATAAAGGACTTAAAGCAAGAGTTGTACAAGTGGCCCCACACATAAACTTTACGCACTGCATTATCCACAGAGAAGTTCTGGCGAGTAAATCGCTAGACCCAGAGCTTAAAACGGTGCTTGAGAGTGCAACAAAAATTGTCAACCACATAAAATCCCGTCCTCTGAACACAAGACTGTTTGCTGCTCTCTGCAACGAAATGGGATCAGAGCATCAAAGTCTGCTTTTCCACACAGAAGTCAGGTGGCTGTCACGGGGAAACGTTCTCAGGCGCTTGTTTGAGCTGCGGGATGAGGTGCGCCTATTTTTGTTGGAGCACGGATCTCACCTTGCTGCCCATCTGACTGATCCTGACTGGTTAACAAGGCTAGCATACTTGGCTTGCATATTTGACAAGCTGAATGGGTTAAACACATCACTACAAGTTGAAAACGCAAACATCATGTCACTGAATGACAAAATTAATGCATTCAAAAGGAAACTGGATCGGTGGTCTGCACGAGTAAAAACGGGCTGTTTTGACATGTTTCCTGAACTGGAGGAGTTCATGGAGGAAAATGATTTGTGTGTTAACACCGTTAAGGGGTATATCACCATGCACCTTCAAACCCTCTTGGATCACTTTATCAAGTTTTTTCCTGAGGAAACAGCTCCAGAAAAATATGACTGGATAAGATCCCCATTCACCGTAACAAGCACACATCATTTGTCATACGACATTGAGGACGCACTGGTTGAACTGTCAAGTGACCGCACCTTAAAGAGTGCTTTTAACTCAAAGATGCTTGCTGAGTTCTGGATTTCAGTTGAGAGAGAATATCCACAGCTTTCTAAGGCTGCGATTGACATTCTGATGCCGTTTGGCTCCACATACCTGTGCGAAAAGACTTTCTCAACCCTCACATATATTAAAAATAAATACAGATCACGTCTTAACGTGCAGGATGATCTTCGAGTGGCCATCTCTAAAATTAAACCCAGAATGGATTTACTCGGCTCCAAGCATATTGCCCACCCATCTCATACATTCTGAAAATGTGAATAAGCACAGAAACAAAGTTCCTCTGTATTACATTGTTTGTGACTTTGCATGAGTTTTTTTTTTTTTTTTGCTACATTGAAATGAAAGCACTTTTCCGTTACCATTTTTTTAAGATTTCATCAAGAATTGCATTTGTTACAATCATTTGTAACCCGTTTAGGAGTGTTGTTTTAATATGTTCTGGAAATGTTTACTCAAGGGAGGCAGAGATGCATGTCCATTTGTTGCCATGGCAATGCTGTGTATGTGTGAGCGTGTGCAGGGAGGGGGACGGGAGAGAGTAAAATTAGGGAGAAAGTGTGGAGATTGTTGTGGCACTGAGTTGCTGTCACTTTAGAAGCTGAAAATTAACCAAAATGCTAACTGACTGCCTTATTCTTATCAAAACTGCCAAGGATTGTTACATGTTAAAGTTTGCACACAACAGCAAGAATGTTTTCAGAGTTGCCTTTTACAGTTTTCAAATGTAAATTCGTGCCATATTTACCTGTTGAGGGTTCTAAACCTGTCTATTTGAGTACACTTATTAAAGATTAAGTTCCACGTGTGTGTTTAATTATTTCACTCATCTCCAGGGGGTCGCGAGACTTTGAAACTGTTAATTTATGGGTCACGGACTGAAAAGTTTTGGGAACCCCTGCTTTAGATGAAGGGTCTTCAAACTTTACTGACCAATGAGCCAATTTCCTCTGTCAACCAAAATAAACTTGTTTAGACAACAACTATAAGACCGTTGTGTCCAATTTTGATAAATACACAATTAAATTTTGTTGATCTACATAAGGGGATTAGGACTGCTGAAAAGGTATTTTTTCTCTAAGAAATCTCAAGTCATTATAGAAAGATTCTGAGACAAAAATCAGGATTATGACAGTTTTCTAAGAATAATGTCAGAAATATTTTATATAAGAAAAAAACATTGTTTTCTACTTTGAGGTTTTATATTAAAAAAACTGCAAAAACAGTATGGATATTTATTTCTAAGGAATGTTAATATGTGCAGAAGATGAAATAAATAAAAGCATAATTAGATCTCAAAATTATATTTTTGGTGTCATGGAAGTTCAATCGAATTGTTCAACACAAATTCCACTTTTTTTTATTTTGAAATCATGAGTGACATTTTTATCATCACTAGCTAATGTTATTAAGAGCTATTATGGAAGGTCCAGAGAGCCACAGGTTGCAGACCCCTGCTTTAGGTGATGTTACTGGAGCCTAATTAGCGATAACTGATGATGCTTTAAAATACACCCCCGAAAAAATAAATAAAAATCATCGAGAACAATATTAGAATATTAATTTTCAGAACAAACGTTCAGTTTTTTTATTGTTTTTGTTTACCTAAAGTATTTTTATCCATCTTTAGAATTAAAAAACTGAATGAATTCCTATGTTCATAGAGTACTTGTAACAGACTAATATTAACTAATATTTCATTGAAAATCATTTTGTCACTCTATCCCACTCTACTACTGCAAAGGGGCGGTGACGTATGGAGTGACTTAGAACCCAAATGTTGTGGCTTAATGTGAAAATATAGCATCGACATCCAAATATGCATGAAGTCACCAATTGAATTCCTTTTATAGAAAACGAGACTATGATTCATCCAGAACATCCACAGATTAAGAAAATATTCCTTATTAAGCTAAATTATTTTATTTTGTTTAAGGTTTAGACTGTTCATGTTTTTAAGATCAGGCTAAAGACCCACCTTTATAGTTTAGCTTTTAACTGATTACTATTTATTGCATTGCTTGTTTTACTTATTTATTCTTAAGTACTGTTCTGTTACATATTTATGTTGGTTTATTTGTTTAATCACATTTTATTGGATATTCTACATCATACATTTGAGATATTTTCCATATTAGTTCTTGTTATTTTACATGTCACGTATTTTAATCCTTCCAGTGTTTCCTCTGTGGAGCCCTCTGCCTTGGGACTGGTGGGCGGCAGCTGGGGCACTCCTAGGGTAGTGCCCAGGTAGTGGTGGGGTTTGCTACCCTTCCTCCCAGGGCGCCCTGGATTGGTGTCTTGGCTGCTGCCGTGAATCTGCTGCTGTCGAGGCAGATGGCTCCCTTAATGGTGTGTTTTCATTACCTGTGTGTGTGTGTGTGTGTGTGTGTGTGTGTGTGTGTGTGTGTGTGTGTGTGTGTGTGTGTGTGTGTGTGTGTGTGTGTGTGTGTGTGTGTGTGCGTGCGTCTGTGTGTGCCTGGGGATGGTTTGTGGATTGGGAGGTGAAACTATCACAATTGTTTTAAGTGTGGGAAAGGGAGGGAATGTGAGTTATATGGGTCATTTTAATCTGTTAAGCACTTTGTGTTGCATCCTATGCATGAAAAGTGCTTTATAAAAAAGTTTGATTTGATTTGATAAAAATGAAATGAGCCAAATGCAACAATTTTCTCTCATTTTTTAAAATGAAAATAAACCATGAAAAAAAAAAAATCTTAATTAAGTTAATTGATAGATAATTGGATGGATGTCATCTGGACCCTATTAATCATCTTGACTCACCCAGGAACAGATTACTGACAAAGTTAGAAAATTAAAGGCTTAAATATTACTGATTTGGACAGGGGGTCCAAAATCTTTATATTTTTATCATAAGTCGTATATGTGTGTCTTTTGAACATTCAAGCTCCTTGTCACCTTGAAATAAACTCAACTTTTAAATCCTTCAACCTTTCCAGGGCATGCACACAGGGATGTGGAGTGGAACAAAAACATCAGAAGAGCCAGATTTAGCAAAAAACATGTTTAATCTCTGCTTGATGCGTGTCTATTTACAAGTAATAAATCTGCAAAATACGAAAGAGCAGAATATTTACACGGCATGAAACAGCCAAAACCTGTCACATTAGCTTCAAGTCTGAAACTCTTAAAAATGTACCATAATTCATAAAGTATTAAAACTCTAAAGTAGTTTTTTTTTCCCAACTGCGTATCTTCTCTTTAATCTGCAAGAGGTGTGTTATATCCTGTTCCTCCTCTGAAATGGACTTTTTTTTTATTAAAGTGAACTCAGTCGGCAAAGAAGCTGGAGAGCTGGAACTGAGGGGATGAGAAACCCAGGTGTGTTGCTTTTGGGGGTCAGAACAAGTGTTAGCGTGGTGACGTGTGGGGCGGTTCAGGAAAGATTTCGCGTAAACTCAGAACTTAAACAAATGGCTTTGAAAAATGTGCAACAAAAAAAATTCTAAAAATTACAAAAAGAACTGTAATAACTTCTTTTGTTGAAAAACTAACATCTATTTCATAAATATGTCTAAAGATTGAAATCATTCACAATAACATCTCAGATGATGTCTCTGAGGAGGTACTGACCCCCTTAATTATAAATAGTTTTGATTTGGACGTAAATACAGTGGCCAACCTGGCTAAAGTCATGTGTAGCAAGTTGTAAGCCTGGTTATTTTTACCATTTTAACATTCAAAACTATAGATCGACTCATGGCTGTAACTAGTCTTAAGACACTGTTTGAGCTGCAGTTTACTTTTTCTTTATCACAAAGGAAATACACAAAAACGTTGTGCTAAAACAACTAGACACAAAGAGTAAAAGGAAAGGGAAATGAGCAGAGCTTTAATAGAAAAGGATGCTTTTTTTACCAGTCAATTAAATGGCAACAAAATGGTAAATAATGTACAACCAGCTCAGCTTACTTTAGTCTTCAGTATGATTCTAGCACAAACAGAGATGTAAAATCCCTCAGTATTTTATGTAATCTCAATCCTGCATGTGGTTGAGTGAACTCATCGTATTTCAGATAAACTAAAACCAAATTGTATTTCCACTTGTCAATTGTAAAAAATATATACTTCATCTTCTTTATGAGTATTTTATTTTTTACAGCTGACCCAAAAGCCAACCTTTCTACTACTTTGCACTAAGCTAAACTAAATCCTTCTATTAACTAAAAATGCAACACACATCAGTTCTGCACATTTGAAATAAAATACAATTTTAAAAAGCTTTGTTTGAATTGCACAAATTATATATGTATATGTTTTTTACCTTTTGTTTCACTCGAAACTCTTGTGTCTGAGAAAAAAAAAAGCAAAAATGACTTTTTAAGCGGCCAAAAAGGCAAATGGAACTATTCTGATTCTTGTTTTGACATTAAGGGTTTCAGTCAGGTTCTTTACACTAATAAAGACCCTAAAAAACACACCGTCTGCAAAGGTTGAGATAAAAAAAAAATCTCCAAAAAGTTCTGAAGCTGAGAATGAAAAAAAAAGGAAAACAAATAAATAAAAATGGGAGCACACGTCATTCCTATTCTAGTTTTGCCGCTTACACAGTAAACCAATGGATAAGCCTCATTATAATCTGAATATCACAAAAAACAAGGGCTGAGTGAGAACCAGTCAAACGCCAACGCAGCCACAATCAAGTTTTAGTCTTTGATCTAAACTGAACAGAATGAGTCTGTGAGCGTCTGTACATGGAAGTAACATCATAAATCTGAAAAACACCAAGAAATAAAGAAGCACTGTTTACTTTCTCTACAGGAACATCTAAATGACCAAAGACGGAGAATGAAGACCGTTTTGCGGAAGAACTGAAACGCCGATGTTCGAAGGATAACGCTGTTATCCGGATGTGGTAGCTTTGGTCAGCTTGTTCTGTATGTAGTTTTTACCCTGTGTATTTCAGTGGTTCAAGTATCGAAGCACATACAGAACATTGTTGTTGTGACACACATTTGAGATTCAGCAATGGCAGGTTACATCAAGGTGAGTAGTTTAAATGGACACCGAGAGTTAAAGGGTTTTCAAAAGATCTGAAAATGTAGCAAAGGTTGTTTTAATTTGTAGCAGCGACGCAATCTGGGGATCGACGGGCCGAGCGTAGCAGTGCCTAAATACAGTAAAAGGTAATCTTTGCGTCACAAATAGGGCACTTTTAAAACATGCAAGTTTATACGCATGTTAGAAATTAGCTGAATAATTCTTCACACTGGTTTAGATTAGAATCTTTCTTATTTAAAGGTGCATGAAGGATGACACACTGGTGGTCAAAATTGGGTACTGCAGTTCATATATCTTTGGATGTTCCTTATTCCTTTAACCCTCCCACTGTCCTAATGGGTGTGACCCAGCGAGGAAAGTTGATAATTGAGCAGGTTTGATGGTTTATCCCTCGGGTCCATGTGGCAGGGGTGAGAATTGGTCAACTTTCTTCGTGGGGTCACCCATAAAGACAGTGGGAGGGTTAAAACATGACTGAGCCATTAAAACAATTGTGTTAATTTTACTGTAAAAATCAAACTTATTGCACCTTTAAATATAGTGTTTGCTTCTAAAAAGCACAAGGAATGAGACCACCAGCTTTTAAAGCTGAAATTCATCCACACACTTTTATGTTGTGGAAACAGCTGTGACGGAACAATTATCCCACTAGATACATCCTCCTTTCCTGGTTCTTTTAAAGGTGCCACACTTCCTTAGTCAGTTGAGCACTCATCTCCTTTGTTCAAAGCACTGGAACAGATTTTTAAAAATCCTAATTTCGATGCTAAAGATGAAAGTGAATGTAAGATAATTTATTTAAATTACTCCAATGGCAAAAATTTAGCATCTTGTGCACCAATGTTTATCTTTATGACACTAATAATTACAATAAACAAATATACAATCTGTCCTTTTTCATTCAGACATCAGAACAGATGTGGGATTACACAGCCCTCCACTCTCATATAAACCTATTAACCCTGGTCTGATGTTTTTAATGCAACTTCAAATATCTTTAAACCAATCTGAGGACTCCTAAAATGTCCTTCAGGAGCTTTTTACCAGGGAGAAAAAAGGTGAGGGAAGCACTGCTGAAGTGGAAGAAAAAACAACATTTTTGAGGTAATGGTAGCAGTTTCTTTTGAAGTCATATTGCTCAAAAAGGTGCAAGTGATGCAGTGATGTCCATATTTTTATAGAAATGTAAATACGACATTATTAGATTGACACATCCATGTAATTTAAAGCAGCAATAGCAACTCTACAGAACAAGTTAGATTTTAAATGCAAACATGGTCACGCAACTCTCACCCCTCCTATTGGCTATCATCCCCAGACCACATCTGCTGGATACTGGAACGAGCACAGCCAGAACAAACAGGAGAATACTAAACACCGGTCGCAGTTGTCTAGGTCCAAACGTCTTTTGTTGTCTGTGAATTCAAATGGTGATTTTCTTTTTGGGACTCTGGTAGTTTGTCCTAAAGCTGAAGTGGTAGCAGCCGGCTGTTTCTCCCTAAAGCTGAAGTGGTAGCAGCAGGCTGTTTCTCCTTGTCTGATATTATTGAGAAGAGAACCTCTCACACCAGTGGTGTTCTGTTGCTAAATGCACAAATCGTAAAGAATGGAGGACCCTGGTTACTGAGGAAGTGTGGCGGTTCATTGAGAGAACAACAACCAATGTTTGCTTTTGGTCCAAGCCTGGTTATTGGCAATTGGTAATTTTAGAAAAATGTGAGAGAGAAAAAAAAGTATGCTTTTTTATTTTTTTGTCTCTACAAAAAAATTTAAGCTATACTATGTGGGAATGTTGTTATGACTTATTAAATGTTAAAAACAGTTTAAGCTAGCCTGTTTGTAGATTTGCCTTTGCAGCTTTAGTTGATTTGAACATTTCGATGTTCTGTATTGGAGGATGAGTTTTCATCGGAAGGTTTAGTTTCTAAAAGTTTACCTTGATTTGTATCATATCAACTTTTTTCCTCTAATTTTCCCAGATTTCTGAAATAATTTGTGCATGAAATGAAATTTTAACCAATCTATGATTTTCAAAGCACGGAAAGTTAACGTCCTCCACTGTGCAAGAAAAACGTCTTTTTTTCCCCCCCACCCTTATAAAACTACAGAAAATAAGCAAAAACAACAAAAAAGAGGAAAGACCTTCAACTTGTACAAAAACACATATTTCAAGCTACACTTTAAATTTAAAAAAACACATTCACATTTTTTTTTAAATGGGCCCTTTAGCTTCACAGGCTTTACTGCAGACACTGACGAAGTCGATTCACTTTCACCTGATTTAGCAAAACTAACCTTCGTATCCGAGGATATGTTTCATAAACGTGTTTCAGACGAGGAAAGGGGGAGGGTCTAGAAAACGAGACCAAGAAGCTAAACAGCACAGCGTGCCAGAGATCTGCTTACGTGGAACACCTCAGTGTCCGCGGGCACAACGAACGTTTGTTTCGTCTAAAACAGCTGACCTTGAAGTATTTGGTTTCTCTAAAACAAAACACAAAAGCACTGTAGGTCGGGAGGCTCATGGGTGGCTTCTAGACATATTTGTCTTTTTACAATCTTCAGAGCCGAAATACGTTATGTAGAAAGTGTCTGTATTACATATATACTTCTGCCGTTTATCATTTTTTAAACTCTCAGTCACTAAGAATGACAACATTTTCATAATAGCACATTTCATCTGACAAAAAAAAGAAAGTCTCTTTGCACTAAACAACATTCAAAGTAAAACATGGCACAAGACAACTTTTTTCTTGTGTTTTCATCCTTTTTTTATCACCTAGGAACTTCTGAAAGATCTTTTGTACATTGAACTGGAAAACATTTTTCAACTTTTCATTTGTTTTAAAAACAAAGGGTTGTATTTATATATCTATTTATCTCTCTATAGAATCATATATCCTCTTTTGATTTAGCTTTGTTGTGCAAATTCAGCAGTAACACAAGTGGCACAGCGATAGGGAGAGTATGGGAGTTTAAAGGATTAGATGACAAATCAAAAAGCAACGTTATGAAACCGGATAAGTTCCCCGTCAGTCGCCAGCGGTGCTTCTGGAGAGGAGGAGAGTTAAATCAGGATGAGGAGTTTCAGTCTTCCTCATGTCGCCGACCGAGTCTCTACCAGCTGGCCCTGACCTTTGACCTCCCCGTGGAGGACACAGAAAAGGAATCACGTGTTGGGATGAATTATCCTGGATTCTCACCGGCTCGCCATCTCGACTACAGCTTGGCAGTGGAAAGACGCGACCACCTTTCCTACAGAGTTTCACCTCCGGCAACAGGAATTCTGAACCAGTTAGCTGAGGCTGAGGGTTGATCGTGATTGGTTTGATTTTGTTGGCTCAGAGAGAAGAAAAGGAAATAATAATAAAAAAACAACATTTATGAGACGGTAGATCCAAACTCAGCTGTTCCTTCAGTGTGCCGCTGCTGCTCGGTGCTTGTGTCCTTGCAGTCTTTTTGTTTACTGCAGGCTGTAGTGTGTGTGTGTGTGTGTGTGTGTGTGTGTGTGTGTGTGTGTGTGTGTGTGTGTGTGTGTGTGTGTGTGTGTGTGTGTGTGTGTGTGAATGAGATAACAACAGACTTCAAACGTCGAGAATCAAAATGTCTCAAGGGTAAGGAGAAGGTGTGTGGGTAAGCCAGTTCTGCCCGGGCTGAGGTGCACGATTGGCCAGTCCTCAGCTCGACAGGGCCATGGTGTCGATGACCTGCTCCAGCTTTCCCCGTAGCCGCTGTCTGCGCGACTGCTCGTCCTTCTGTAGCGCCGACAGGAGCTGGGCACAAAGATGGAACACCGTAACGTTACAAAACCAAACTATAACGACTTTGTTTAAACCTGAACCACACATGAATACACACCGTCATCCTCCACTATCAGACATTTTTAAATTCACTCTAAGCTGGTTCCCTTTAATGGTTTGAATTCACAATTACACTGAAGCTGACAAGGTGGGCAGGGCAGGTGTGAGGACCGGTAGAAAGTGTATAATTGCATGTGAATTGCCACTGAGGCCGTGTACAGTAGTGTGTGTGTTGTTATGTCTGACTGTTATTTTGCATGGCATAAACTGGAAGAGGAGGAGCTGCTATGCTACAACATGTAGATGTGTGCATTCTCATAATGATGTGTGTTTGTAAGTACATGTGAGCAGTTTTAACACATTGTTGCTGGTGTGTGTGTGTGTGTGTGTGTGTGTGTGTGTGTGTGTGTGTGTGTGTGTGTGTGTGTGTGTGTGTGTGTGTGTAAGGTCAGGGTATGTGTCAGAGGCGATGGCATGGTGCAGCTGCCTACATCTGGATAATAGGCTGTAATGATGGGGAGCGGTCGGTTTGAATGGAGCCAGCTGCAACCAGCAGCAGAACTGAACTGCTGCTGGTATGAAGGAACGAGGAGGAGGAGGAGGAAGGACACCGTGTATTTATTAACAACATACATGCATCGTTGTGCTGGGAAAGCTGGTTGGGTAAAGGGATCCAGATAAAGATTTTTTGTTTCTCGAATATTCAGAAATGATGTCCAAAAAGATTATAATGTAGTGTTCCTCTGTTAATGATGGTGCTGCACAAGAGGAGATCAAGAAGAGGATGATGAAGACCAGGAAAAAAAAAACAAGAAGACAAAAGAAGATTGAAAAGATTAGGACTAAGACAAAGAAGACAACCCAAAAATTAAGAAGATAAAGATGAAGAAGACCAAAAAAGAGGAAGAAAAAAAGAACACAAGGAAGTCGTCGTCATCTTCCTCCGCTTATCTGGGTCTGAGTCTTGGGGGCAGCATCCCAACTAGGGAGCTCCAGACCGTCCTCTCCCCAGCCACCTCCACCAGCTCCTCCGGCAGGACCCCAAGGCGTTCCCGGACCAGATTGGAGATGTAACCTCTCCAACGTGTCCTGGGTCGACCCGGGGGCCTCCTGCTGGCAGGACATGCCCAAAACACCTCCCCAGGGAGGCGTCCAGGAGACATCCTGACCAGATGCCCAAACCACCTCAACTGACTGCTTTCGATCCGGAGGAGCAGCGGTTCTACTCTGAGTCCCTCCCGAATGTCCGAGCTCCTCACCCTATCTCTAAGGCTGAGCCCGGCCACCCTACGGAGGAAACTCATTTCGGCCGCTTGTATCCGCGATCTCGTTCTTTCGGTCATTACCCAAAGCTCATGACCATAGGTGAGGATTGGGACGTAGATCGACCGGTAAATCGAGAGCCTGGCTTTCTGGCTCAGCTCCCTCTTCGCCACGACAGATCGGCTCAGCGTCCGCATCACTGCAGACGCCGAACCAATCCGCCTGTCGAAAACAAGGAAGATGAAGACCAAAAGGAGCAAGAAGAAGATGGCCAAGAAAAAGACGAAGAAGATGAAAATAAAAGAAAAAGAGGAGTAAGAGTAACATCTAAAAAACAAAACATGGAATAAGATGAAGAAGAAATAGGAGACCAAGGAGTGAAGAAGAAAAGGTTGATGAAAAAGAAGAGAGGGAGGATGAATAAGATAAAGAAACCAAAAAGGAAAATGAAGAAGAAGAAGGATTTCCTGCTTTCTTCTACTGTTAGAGACGAGTTCTGACTAGACAAAAACACCATCGGCTAGTTTTACAGTGGATTTGGCCGTTTTAACCCCTTGTAGACTCGTGACACGGACCTAAAATGTATCAACTCATGTCAAACATCTATCTGGTTTTAAACTCATTATCCAGCCTGAACTTTCTCTAGAGGCACCGGCCTCCCAATGAGCCACATGCATCTCACGAAAACGGCTCCTTATGCAGACTCCTGCCAACACATCTGAGTTTCGACCAACAGGCAGCAGCTGCTATGCTGCACGAACAAGTATTAGGGACAAAAAAGAGAAAATGCATTTACATAAATTCTGCAAAGCTCCATTAGGTTCATAATGTGTTGAGCTCATGCTTTAATGTGCATCCTAATGGTGCTAATACCTTCCAGCTCGTACCGATGCAGACTAGTTATCAGTGTAATTGAATTAAAATGACCTCGTGGTATTATTCAAGACAAGTAAAGGGGGGAAGACGACACAGCACATCCATCTACCCAATAATTACAGCGTTCTTATCCATTCTGTTTGATTCCACTTGGTATTCCGTCGGCTCTCACCTCGTCTTTGTATTTGATGATGTAGGTGTAGATCTCATGCAGAGCAGACATGCTGTTGAACTGGCTGAGGTGCAGGCGGGACTGCTCTGCTAAGTAGGCACTCATGTCCTGATCACTGATTGCTGGCATACGGGAGATATCGGAATAATATCTAGAACAGAGGTTAAGCAGAGGTGTGTGTGTCATCATCCAAAGCTCAGTGACTGAATGTCTGGCGATGCATTCGATCAGAAATGTCCTTTTACGGGTGGAAAACACAGATTTAGAGTTATAAAATGAGAAAGTTGTACAAGGAAGGACAAAAACGTAAAATAAATGTTTTGATGTGAAAAGATCAGCATATCACACATCGATTCTAAATAGTCAAACTAAATATTAGTCGGCATACGGGTGTAAAAAGACATTTTCTTTCCTGTAGATGAACACTGTCTTTATTACAATACAATAACTTATGTATTTAATTTATTGTGTGACTTTTTTACTCCCAGCATTCAGCTCCATCTCAGCTCTCAGAGCAAAGCTCTCGGGTCACGTTCTCCCGTGGCAAAAAGACGTTAGAGCTATAAAAGCGGTGCAAAAAATAAACCTTCAAGTCCGAAAACCCGGAGGACCCGGAGATTGTTGTGTTGTCACTGATGTTGTCCTTCCGCCTTGCCGTAGCTGTAGGGAGACACGCGGGGCTTTGTGAGGGTTGGAGGAGGAAGACGAATGAAATGAAGTAAACCGATGTTTGAGACCCATCCTTGTCAGTGTGTGCTGAGAAAAGTGTAAAAATAAGAGAGACAAAGTGTTTGGAGACTGAAACGGCAGGGTAGCCGTGTTGACGTGTGCATTTTGTGAGCGTCGGACACCTTTGGGTCACAATGCGACTGATTGGGAGCTGGTCGTGAGGTGTTAACTGCTTCTTGTTACCTCGCTGTTTACTACACAACGCCAAACTCCCCCTGATCTATAAGACTCTCGCACAAGAGGAAAGTTGGCTCCAAATGTGCCAAAAATTGCATTGTGAACGTTAAGGAACTGGAAATCTGCATGCATGTTGTTTTGATAGCTGACACGGCTCCTGTGTTCGACTTCCTGCCTGGACAAATCCGAGCTGCTGAGTTTGGTGTGTTGACGGGTAAATTAAGCTGAGCTACTCGACACTACACTTCTGGAGCACGTCCAAAACACGCCACTCTGTGGCCGCTGTAAACACATCTGTGCACTTTAATGGTCGGCTCTTAGCTGCGTTTTGCAGACATTACGGAATGCTTACGCATCCAGTGAAGTTTTATACACGGCGGCCAAAAATTGGGATGATAACTGCATTTTTTTTTCTTCTAAATGTCTTAGTTGTGTCTCAGTTTATTCCCAGTTTAGTCACCAAAGTTTCTTTATATCTCTCACACATAAAAACTAAACAGGTTCCAGATACAACCACAGCAACTCTGGGATTGTTTTGAGGGAAATGCAAAATTAAAATGTGTCTACGTGCTCCAGAGACATGAGAGAAGGTTTTGCAACAAAACCTCGACAGAAGTCGCCTCTGCAAGAGAACGTATTAAAACAGTGACAGTTATTTTGCTGCTGCATTTAACACCTGCTCTCGGGTTTTATTGGTGTGATATAAAAATATGTGCAAGTTCACACATTCGAGCCACCTCTAAAATCTCCATCTCACACCTCTACCAGACGTTCTATCACAGCTGTGGGGCTTCTTCGCCTGATTCGGTGTTCTTGACACAAGGGAAGAGGCGAGTTTCAGGCTTTTTAGTGCTAGTGACCAGATTTAATCACCTTTACATGCTTTAAACCTTCTAGACTACTGTTGAAAATTTACCTGAAGCCCTTTGTGGCCTTCAAGCATCTAGATGGAGAATCAGGATTAGTACTTTCATCAAAAACCTATTTTTATTGCAAGTCCATCGCCCTCTAGTGGATAATCTACTAGTGGGATGGTCCAAAATTATTTCTTAATCGTGGCCATATGTTATGTTACATAATAAACAGATTAATATGTGGTTGTTGTACGAGCATTAGCCCTCGACAGTTAGCAGTTTTAGAACAACTTTATTATGTTAATTATAACTTTATATTTGTTTTTTTAAATATAATAATAACATTAATGCAATTAAAATAATGAAAAAAATATTTACTAACCACCAAATAACACCAAAGTGTTGAAACTTTAGTCAGAAAGAAACAAACAAACTTCAGAAAGTAAAGTGTAAACTTCAATATCTGGACATGAAAACCTGCAAATCTGTATATAAAATTAAAAAGGAGTAAACAGAAAGGTGAATTTGGTTTCCTCAGGACTTCCATTAACCTTTTCTACATTTAGGAAAACCTTCTAAAGATGAATAAAAGAAGTATTTGCTGTTTTCATTAATGTGCATTTTTTCTGTCTTGTTGCTTAAAGAGCTGAATTTATGTGGAACTGGTTTCACGGACATTCCGACTCTGGGAAAATACAGTAATCTATATTAATAAGCCAGGAGCGAGTCAGAGGTAATTACAGCACATCATTTCTTTGCTTTAATTTAATTCAACAATGTTTTTATGCTTCTAATGCCTGCAGCAGCTCAAGTTCAACCTATAATGTTGTTCTAATCTTACAGCTGTTTAATAGTGTAATTAACTTTGATCTTATAACTGGCCTCCTTTTTCCACCACCTTCCAGCGACTCGAGAGCAACGCTTTTTATTTTAGAGTTAAGAGTCTGGACTCAGGGCTCATCTTCAACCATTTTCATTTAATTACCTTTCTTTACTCCACGCTTCTCTTTAGACTCACCTTTCTACCCAGCTCTTATAGTTTGGGATGTCTTTAGCGTAAAGAAGCTTATTGGAAGGCGAGTCTTTTCCCAGTTTGTGCTCGGACGTCGAACAGGAGTCCATGAAGGTCTGAGCCACCACTGACAGGCAGGCGTCCGTGATGCTGTTTTTATGAATGTCGAACACAAACTGTGGGTTCTTGATGACGTTCACCCAAAACCGCAGAGGAAGGCTGAAGACGACAACAGACAACAGATAGAAGGAGAGCGTGTGAGCTCACATGTCCACTCTTTAGATACCTTTGTTTCTGTGCACTTGAGTTGGCATTATGAGAGAGTTGTGACTGTTGCTCAGTGGGCAACACAACCCTCGATGTAACGCCTGTATGCTGGAGACACATTTAGTAACAACACTTAACTCATTCACTGCCAATGGTCGTCATTTGCATATTTTTACTGTGTGGGCGTCGGAATGAGCTCCCGCACCGTGAGAACAAACATCTCAGCTCTAAAGCCGATCTTCACCTGCATATGCCACACGTCACGTGATCAGGAAGCAGAAAATCCATGTGTTAGGAGATCATTTTGGGCCGCTGGTGTAGAAAAAGTGAGGCGCGAACCGGAAAAGCTTCTGCTGATCATAATTCAACAACAGATTATGAAAGAACGGATAACGCTCAAAATGCGCGGATTCTTCCTGATGTAAGAGGTGAGTCTCCTCTTTGTTTTAGTTATTTTGGTTGTTTCGGCGTCGACATCATCCTAGCGCGCAACGTTCTGTCACTCTTAAAAAAACAGTAAAAATGGTGAGAAACGCTGGCAGCGAATGAGTTAAGAGTAGGGCTGCTCAATTAATCGAATTTTAATCACGATTACGATCTGAGTTTTGAACGATTATAAAAAACAAAACAAGCCGATTATTTGCTCCTCCCGCCTGCGCTGCGCCGAGTTGCAAATGAAGCGCTCCTCCCACAGTGTTGCCAACTTTGTGACTTTGACGCTATTTCTAGCAGCTTTTCAGACCCCCTTCTTGACTTTTTAACTTAAAAGTACCTAGCGAACACCTCAGAAACATCTCTGGTAACCCTTAGCTACTTTCTGGATAACTGTCGTCGACATTTCCTGCAGGTTAGCTAAACACTCCGCCTGCTCTCCGGACCGTTCTTCAGGACATTAGGAAAGGGAATGATGTAGTGATGTGTCGGTCGCTAAAGACAGCTCTCGGAGCCGGCTCCCTGTTGGATTAACCAGAGTGAGTGACACACACACCGTACCTGCGGACTCCTGAGCCACTAAAACGGCTAAATGTGCGCGTGCAGCGTGCTAAACACACGAGCAGCTTGCCCTGATTGCTGTGAGACCGAGTTGGGGGGTGGGGGGTGCAGCTGTGGTTGGGACAATTATTACATTAATTGATGGACTTGTAAATAAATAGTTTATAAATAAGGTAGAAATAAGTTCCTCACGCTGATAAATAATAACTAATCTCTCTGAGGACACGGTGCTAGTGCACTCTCCAGCAGCACATTGACACGACTAAATACGTATTATGCAACATTTTGTGAACATCAATTTATTTGCATGTATTTGTTATAAATGCCACTGTATAATTCTTGCTGTCAGTATTTGCAAGATATTGGTATTTGGGTCTGTACTGGTTAGACTTAAATGAGTTAAACCAAGGTCTATAGCCCTTGGGTCATAAACTATGAGCTATAAGTATATTGGTCTTTTTATACTGGGAATCAGGAGTTATTTTAGTGATCATCTTGTTTCTTATTTTTGTCCTGATTGTGCCCTGAGCAATTTTATGACTGAATAAAAACAAATAAAATCAACATAAATTGAAAAATCGTCCTAAATAATCGTGATCTCAATTTCAGTCACCATAATCGTGATTATTATTTTTGCCATAATCGAGCAGCCCTAGTTAAGAGGCATGAAAATAAATGTTTTAAGCCAACTTGTTTTTCAAATTCGTAATTGTAGCTTTAAATTAGCAGTACACTAAAGCTCTTTGTCTCTTTGCACCCATTAACGAGTCCCAAAGTTCAAAGCACTGCATATGCCTTTTGGTTATAAACAGTTTGAAATGCCATTCGCTTGGACTGCAATAGACACATTTGTGTGATGTCATAAAAAGCTCTTGGGTTATCAGTAGAACTTCTTTGATCTAAAAAAAAAAAGAATAAAATAAAATAGGTTTTTATTACACAGACTCCAAAACTGAAGATAGTTGTTTGTTCAAAACGGTTCAAAATCTTGCTAGATAGACTTCATCCACTGCCTAAAGGCAAAAACAGGAAGAAACTCTGACTCACCAGTTGCTCTTCCAGGTGTGCCGTACATCATAATCTGTGATGGAGTGTTTGTCGGCTTGTTCGTCCAGGAAGTCAAACATGTATTTGATGGCCAGCGGCAGTGCGCTGCCTCTGTGAGCTGTGCTGAAGATAGTTTCAAACAAGTCGTCGACAAACTTCTGTAATGTACCCTGAAAGAGGAGGGGAAAAACGTGAAGACATTTATTATCTTCATTATTTTTAATACTTATAGTGGTTAAATCTGAACTTTGGTTCAGATTTTAGTATTTGAACCTTGAATGACATGAAAAACTCCGTGTCAACACACTTGTTAGATGGCTAAATGCCTGAAAAATGCTTTAAATGACAGCAAATCACAAGCCAGGATGTCACGTCTGACAAGTATTTTGACATTTTCAAACAGGTGTTGTGGCCTTATTATGGGAATCCTTCTGAACTTTGCTTGCTCTCGTTTCTCTTCACATTTAGCTGTTTATTTTATTTTTTTATTTTTTGGCCAGCCACTCGGGTTCTATCTACTCAAACCCAACACCTAAACAAATGAACAACAACAATCTTACCAAAAAAATAGCCAAATGGATCATTTTTGTTGTACGGGTGGTGCAAGACCTCATCCCAGGGGAAACTATAATTTACTGGTGCCAATAAGAAAACAAGTCTGACTTCTGTCCCAATCGCTCAGACCTTCAAAAACAAGATATTCTTACAGAAATATAAAGGATGGCTACAAAAGGAGCAAATGCAAAGATGAACAGGATCTTTCTGTTATTTCTCCATCATCAGAGCTGCGGCTCTACTCTGAGCCCCTCCCAGATATTGGAGCATCTCAGCTTATAGCAGCCTGAGCAGGGGATGGGTGGGCATGGCCAGCTTGTTTTCTTAAAGCGACAGAGCCCGGAAACGACTCATTCTGGAAGGTACTGGAAATGGAAACTATAATAACTAATAAAAAAAGTCATATTTTGTCTCCTTTAAGCCAAATCCAACTAAAACATAGTGATTTTCTTCTTGTAAAGTCAATTCAATATTCAGTTTGACAAATAGGTGTGAAAAATTCCAATCTTATGAGATTTGGTTGAAAATTAAAACAGAGTCAATCATTAAAATCAAAACAAACAGGTGTCACTGTTTTCACTACATAAAAGGAAGTCTGAGATAAAAATTCAATTTTGTTTTTAACTTGCATTACAGTAAAATGGAAAATTCTTCTGCTTTAGGGCAAACAGAAGAGAAGGATACAATGTTTATTGTCCATATTTTGGTTCAATTTTAGAAGAAGATCTATGGACTAAAATATGCTTTACCAAGTAAATGACCTGCCAGTTTAGCGCATTAGGGTTTTGCTATGAAATAAACCAAAGCACAGCTTGATCATATGCAGCCACTACTAAAGAAAGCTTGAACACAACTCCATACCCAGCCGGTGGGGCACGGTTTTGTGGAAGGGCAGATTGTTTTTGTTTCCTGACCCGTGCTTTGTCTTACTTTAGTGGCCAGCAGCCTGGTCAGGTAGATCTCAGAGACCATCTTGCTTCCTCTGTCCCCTTCCCTCTGGTCTGAGTGGTCGTGGTTCTTCACCAGGTGCCACAGTTTTGTTCCACTCTCCAGGTCGGGTGTGATCATCGGTGTTCTGGATCGTAGGCTATCCGGACTGCTGGCTGTCCGCAGCATGCTCTCTAATCATAACACATAAAAGGATTTGTTACCAGCACTTAGAAACCACATTATTCTGCAAAAAAAGACCATTTTTTCTGTTATCAGAGTTCACTGTTGCAGACCAACAACCTCTAGAAACTCCGTATTACTTTGTTATTTCTCACCCTCTCATTTTCTCCATCATCTGTGTCCGTTTTATTATTTATGGTGAATGTGTCACAGCTGATAAGAGTGAAGCCGGGAAATATCAGCAAAGGGTTCTTTTAGGATTTTTTTGGGGTCGGGGGGGGGGGGGGGGGGGGGGGGGGGGGCATGGAGGAACGGGATTATCTGCTCACTAGTTGTTGCTTTCGGGTTAGAAATACAAAGAGAGACACATTTGCAGCTCGTTTGTGGTTTGTGACAGAGTGCATGATAGGAAGAGGAGGAAATGTGGAAGAGATGACTGGAAAAAAAAGGGGGCGGGGAGCTAAATGGACACAGACAAAAGGGTCAGGAGGGAGAGGGAGAGAAAACGGGGTAAAACAGAAGAACGTGGGACAGAACAGGGAAAGGGGCTGAGTAGGGTGGCGTCTGCGTCTGAGCAGCTTTTGGTTCTAAATTCATAACAAATAAATGGCCTGGATTTGGTATTTGATATAATATTGGAAGCCAACATTTTCTGCTTGTTTAAAGACAAAATTCCAACAAAAGTAAACAAACAAATGCCATCATTTCATTAAGAGGAAACAAAAAAATTTCATTTAGTTGCAGTAACATAAAAAAACCGAAAAGTCAAACATATACTTATATAAATCACTTTTATTTTACCTACTACACACATTTGTTGACACGGTGGAGTTGAACAGTTTTAAATAAACCAGTTCAACCAATGTGACGTATTTCTCTGAGCGCTGCACGAGTCTAGCTGAAAATCTGAGTATTTTGTTCATTTCATGGGAGTCCAGTCCAATCACGATTAAGAAATGATGTCATCATAGTGAATACTGGCTTTTCATTGAATATTTGTGAAGAAATCATTTAATGTATCCTTATCTTGCATACTGTAACATGATCTTGGGTAGCACAATCCCTACTACTCTCAACAGAATTTTACTTCTTCAGAAACGCTTTGTCAGAATAGCAACTAGATCTGGACAACATGCATCTTCTGTTCCTTTGTTTCAGAGGCTAAATATACTGACTTTCTATGAATTGAATATTCACCTAATTTGTGTCTTCACTTATAGGATTTTATTGACAAATGGTAAAATACCCAAACAATTCAAAACTTTCTTTAGAGCTAATTCACTCATTCATTCACATAATACAAGACAGTTGATGTGTCTTCAATCAATCAATCAATCAATCAATCAATCAATCAAATCAAAGATACTTTATTAATCCCAGAGGGAAATTAGAGTTTCAGTATACACAATTTAGAGATCAGACATACATGGGCAAGACACATGACAAGAATTGGTGACTGTGGTCATTCGCAACCCTGAGTTGCGCTACCTTAACAGAGATAAGAGGTTAACATGAGGATTGGTTCAGGTGGAGGGAAAAAAAGGCACTTCAGAGTTACCCTCCACCGGGAGGGCAGATTTGCTATGCAAAATAACACCTAAGACAGATATGCAACAGACTTCAGACAACACAAGTGTCCACTAGGTGGGGTGGTGGGTTTGGGCTATCTCCACTTCAGTTCCTGCAGCCACTACAAAACGCGCATGTCACCTCTGTGTGGATGGGGGGGGGGGGGGGGGGGGGAGCATTGAGGGTTGGAGGGTTGTAGTGACCCTGGAACGTTTCAGCGGCCTTCCCGCAGTCCCGCCCAGGCTGGGATAGGAGACAGAGTTGAGTTGCCATAGCGATGGCACATTCCACATATCTTCTGAGGGGGGAGTTTTTGTTGGAGCCTTGCAGGCTCAAGGGCGCCAGATTCTGATTAGAAATTGTTTTGGGGCTAGACAGAGATAATTTCCTCTCTGTCTTACAGTTTGTTGGTCCTCAACCTCTCAAAATCCCAATAATGGACATTAATCTATCCCAATCATGCAGATTTGTCCATTCTATCCTTGATGGCATCCATCTTTTGTGCCAATGAATTAATCTCGGCCAAAATCCCAAGCTTACGATTCATCTCTAAAATTATGTGAGTCTGTGAATTCACAGCGCGGTGCAAACCATCTCTGAGCTCCGGGATCCGGCCAATATTCCTCGACAGCTTGTTAATTTTCCGGTAAGCCAGGGCCAATGATCAGGAAACCTGACACCAACACCGCGAATATACACACGTCTTCAGAGTCCTCCACAGACAGCTGGTCTGTCCCGGAGGGTCATCCGGGAGCCCCTTCTCCCGTTCTCATCGTTGAAAATTTTTTTATCAATCGCGTTGAGTGACCAACTGACGAGATCCATTTTAGTGAATTTCAGTTTCCAGTTTCCAGAAAAAATGCAGAAGCAGCCGTGCACCCAGCACACACAGACAGACAAAGGCCTAGAGGATAAGATATGGAGGAGAGGAGAAGAAAAGCATCTGCACCCTCCAAGAGCTGGAAGAAGAAGGGGTTCAATTCTGAGGAACCGTTTTTCTCATATGGCAACCCAGTGTTCTACTGTGGAAGTATTTAAAAAGCAGTTAAAAAGCCATCTAATAAAGGGAGAGCATGTTTAGTAACTTTTATTTTTTCTAGTAGTTGTATTCTGTTTTAAGGTCTGGTGTTTTTTTAGTAAAATTTTTTGTACTTATCCACTTTTCGTTTGCTTGTTTGTGCCTTTATGTTTTTGTCATGTTTTAAATAACTTAGTATTTGCAAATTTTATTGGATTATGAACTATAGGTGGAGGCTTTATATAAGCTGAATTTGGCTTTTTTGCCCCCTCCTGCACTGTATTTTTTAATATATTTGTCATTCTCATGTTTTTGATGCATATTTTATTGTGCAAACAAATAAATTACAAAACATTACAAAACGTACTCCCAAAAATTATTTTGCTTATTTAAAGGGCAAATCACCCCAATCAACTTTTTGTTGCTGATAAACCGTATAAATGAGTGTCTAATAGAGCTGTAAACACAAGTAGTCAATATTTTGCCATTTTAGTGCACTTTGTTTGAAATATATGTTTCTTTAATTTTGCCTAAAATCAGAGTAACGCCCTCTTCAGGTTAAAATCCACAGTACATTTGATTTTCAATCCCCAGTTGCTGGTGGCTGAAGCTGGGTGGACACTGCGTGACTTTTTCACTCAGCACTCAGCTTCAGCTCAAACTGTACGACTTCCTCGCAGGGCAGATCTCACGAGTCATGTGTTCACACTGTACGACCCAGTTCTCAGATGCGACCTGACTGCTCACACTGTACGTCTGGTAGCAACACGTCGGACCTAAAATATATGCTAAAAATAGCAGTTTTTACACAACACGTCAGACTTTTTTTTATCTTGCCTGTTGTCCTCCGGGAGTGCTGCAGGAGGACACACAGGGATTTATGGGGGTTGGATGAGGAAAACAAAATAAAGAAAGTAAATCTGTGTTTTGTGATCAGTTTACTTTGACATGAACACGACAAACACGCTTTCTTGACAATCTTTGTGAGTAAAAAAACGTGTAGAAATAAAAACAAACAACGTGTGTTATTAGGGAAATAGCGGGCGAGCGGTGTTGATGCAGGATTGCGCATGCGCCGTGAGCAGTTCTGGTACTTTTGGGGTCGCAGCTGCTCGCAGCGCCGCTTCAACAGTGCGATACCCTCACGAGGGACGAGCAAAATATCAAACACGCCAGAAGTCCGTGCGAGCTCACAATTGCTGAACGCTAGCTGGTCACATGGTGTTAATCGCCTCTCGTAACCCCCTGTACAATACACGACGCTCAGCGCAAAACTCGCCCCGATCTTGTGGATTCTCGCACGAGTGGAAAATCGGCTCAAAAAAGTGAAAAAGTCGTACAGTGTACGCCCGGCTTGAGCGGTACCGTATGATCTGGCTGTACTGCACCGCAGAAGAGTTTCAGCCCCGCCACCGGCTGCCTCGGCACTGGTTACAACTCATGAGGCGGTATGAAATGATATGGCTCAGAGCTGCTCGCCTCCTCCAAAAAAAAACTTCCCCCAAATTATCTGGTGAAGGAGGTGGAGAGATATCTTGCAAACTAGGAAGTACGCTGCTTTTTCTCCATACAAGCGGGTTGTGTGAGTTAGAGTGTTATTGTTGACTTGACTACCTGATGGGAAATCACCAAGCTCGTCGTGGCCATCTGTCACTGTAGTGCAGCCCTCTCGATCTGCGAGGGGGACCTGCTCTTTTAATAAAACCATATACTGTTGGAGGAGTGTGGGAAAAATATTTAAATTGTCCTAATTTGTCTGCTGAACCAGCAGAATATTGTAATGAATTTCATCAAAAGACCAGTTCTATTATTTCTATTGTGGTCATTAAACCTGTATCTTGAACTAGAGAAATAAAACATACAAGATGACAACTTGAAATTAAATTTCCATCCTAAACTGTTGGTTCTGGATCAGGTTGGTCAGAAAACCTCTGCTTCTTTTAGTGCACGGCGGATGTGTGGATGTGTGAGGGTTAATGCCCACTCACTAAGGGTGCTGCATTTCTTTGTTTTTGTTCCCACTAAGTAATTTATTCTGTAAATAATTTGATTTTCCAGTGAAGTGTACACCATTGGGTCTCTATCTTTGTGACTTCTAGGTGTCCTTTCCCTCTTTCACTCTGTCAGCCAGAGATCGAGGTGTCTGCTTTAATGCCCGTCATTTATGGACTGCTTTGGAAATAGCCATGGAATAGCCTTGGCCCTGGCTGATGGCAATGGATATAAAGGATTGCCATTCACTGAGAGGGGGGAGGTAAAAGAAACGCAGCCCAATCATGGCCCTGACAAACAAAGAGTGAATGAATGAGAGTTCAAAGGTGTGGGGGAAGGTAAAGGCAGTTAGAGGAAAGGGAATCATTGCCGGGATGATGTAAATGGAGTTGAGTCGAGAATCCGGGCCGTACCGTATCTGCTCAGGCTTTTTGTGAAGGTGGAGGAGTTGGAGATGTTGTACGCAGAGTTCTGCTTTGGCACCAAGGCGATCACTGAGCCATCCGTTACCTGGACAACAAAAACACACGCTCATCATCTGTTGCACCAGTGTGTGCACATGCGCACGTGTGTGTGTGTGTGTGTGTGTGTGTGTGTGTGTGTGTGTGTGTTGTGTTCGTGTACCTGATAGTGAGCCAGTGTGTTGAGCCGTTTCCAGTCATTGTCAATCTTAGTTGTGACATCTTCATCCTGAAGAATGATTCTGGCCATTCGACCATGACGCCACTCTTTGAAAAAAAAAAAGGAAGACGAAAATTTAAAACAAAAAATAGGGAACAGGAAATACGCTGGCCTTTAAAAACACACCCCTTCTACACCTGTTATCTTGTTTAAGACGCAATAACATTATGCAGGACTGATGAGCTAACGGCTAGTCTAACCAAATCCTAGAGCAAACCTTACTTTGGCTATTTTAAATCAGCTCTTACATTTCATAGAGCTTCATATCACATTTTTCTACGAACCTTTATATCACCAACAAGGAGAGGCAGCTTTATTTAAATAGCACATTTCATACACAAAGGCAATTCGATGTGCTTTCCATTAGCAAGAATATTAAAATCAACGTGACAGAAAATACTATTTACCAACAACGTTACAATGTAGTCTGAAATTCTAATAAAATATGCATGCTTTTAAAAACTGATCATTATTCATTTGCTTCATGATGATTTTGTTTTTAATATTCTTTAATAATTTGTTTTATGATCTTTTGTTATGATCTGGTGAGGTTTTCCGGGCACGTCCAAACGGAAGGAGGTCTAAAGGGAGACCAAGGACACATTGGAGGGACTATGTATCTCACCTGGCCAGGGAATGCCTTGGGATTTCCCCGAAGGAGCTGGCCCAAGTGGCTGGGGAGAGGGAAGTCTGGGCCTCGCGCCTTAAGCTACTGCCCCCGCAACCCGACTCCAGATAAGTGAAAGAAAATGGATGGATGGATCTTTTGTTACCTTGTTTTTGTCTTAATAATGTTTTCATTTTGAAATGATTTTCTTTGTGAAGCACTTTGTTTTTTTTATTTTTTATTTTGGGATAGGTTCTATAGAAATAAACCTTTTTCACTGTTGGTGATACCATTTTTAACTCATTCCCTGCCAATGACGACTAAAGTCGTCATTTGCATGTTTTTACTGTGTGGGGGTCGGACGAGCCCCCGCACCGTGAGAACAAACATCTCAGCTCCAAAGCCGATCTTCATCCGCATATGTCACACGTCACATGATCAGGAAGCAGAACATCCATGTGTTAGGAGATCGTTTTGGACCGCTGCTGTAAAAAAAAATGCGGCGCGAACCAGAAAAGTTTCTGCCGATCACAATTCAACAACGATTTATGAAAGAACGGATAATGTTCGAAACGAGTGGATTCTTCCTGATGTAAGAGGTGAGTCTCCTCTTTGTTTTGGTTGTTTTGGTTGTTTTGGCGTCAACATTATCCTAGTGTGCAACGGTCTGTGACTCTGACAAAAACAGTAAAAACGGTGAGAAACGCTGGCAGCGAAGGGCTTTACTGATCAGGAAACGGCTGGCGGCGAATGAGTTAAAGGCATTCTATGCAAAATTTTCATATTTAGAAATTGTTTTTTTTTTTTGCCAGTATGTACTAAAACAACCTTTTACAGGGTTGATCAAATGTCACCCATATCCCTACCGTCCTCTGTGGACAGAATATCACACTTGCAATTTCAGAGTGCTGGTTTGGTCCCTGTTGGACTTAACAACGGGAAGCCTACATGCCTGGTGCTGCTGTCTGCTTCAACTCCCTTTCCTGCATGTTTTAGATCATGCACACAGTTGATTTGTTTCATTTAGTGATGCATCTCTCCTGTAGACACTAAAGAAGGCTGAGGAGACGTTTCAGCTGTTGGATTAAGGTGTTTAAAAGAAGAACGCAGAGAGAGGGGATAAGTTTCACTTTTGGTATTACTAACGGACACTAGAGGGTGCTAAAAGTAAGCCAAAACTGCAAAGTATCCCTATAATAACTATTGTACCATATAATACTTTTATGTACTGAAACTTGAAGAGTAAAAATTCATAAAATAATGTAAAAAGGATCAAAGCTTTTTCTGAGAACCAAGGCTGTTCATTAAGCTATGTATAAGAGGTAAAACAATTTTTTTTCTAACCTTTAATTAAAAACTCCCTTTAAATGGTTGAAAAATACCTATTTTGAACCACAAGTTGCAATTTGTTATAAAATATTTGACCAAAAATCTCTTGAATGATATTTCCCTTGAAATGATCTGTATCTAAGGAGGTAAATCAGAAACATACAGTTTCCTGGGTTCCTACGGTTCCTCCCATCTGTTAAACCATGAGAGAAAAACTACAAATCTCTGTTTCTATAGAGACAGAGTTTGAACTGAATGCAAGACGGAAGCTGAAACAGACCCGCAGGCTACAGCACACAGAGTCGTAATGCTTCTAAAAGACATGGCTGTAAAATAATGCACATACAGAAGTGCACGTCTTACCGAGGTCCATGTCAGAAGCCTTCGGTCTTTGTGAATAAGGGCTGCCTTTGTACACGGCGTCGAGCAGCTTCTCTTTGACCTGAGTGATGGTGTCGCAGTTCAGACACTTGACCGTCACCTCTGGGGCATTCTCATTCTCGGGGTTTACACAATGCAGCGTCTGGCAGAAAAGCAGGTGGAGGCAAGAGGAAAATGGAGACAAACAAACGGGATTAGGTCCAATCAGAGATGCAGCGTGGAAACAGCAAACTAGCGACAAGTTTGAACGGTTGCATTCGAATGTACCTGACAGTGTTTTCACATCTAGTTTAAAGCCTGGTCATTTTCCGAGTGTGTTTGGGTACGGAATAAGCCGGGGTTCACACTTGGGTGACGACCAAAACAACTAAAGCAGATCCTTCTGAGTGCCAACATGTTTTCAGTCCAAACCTCGAGTGCTTTGTTTGGAAACACAACGTAGTTAACACGGGGCAGCAGCCAGGTCACAAACCCACTCCACACACAACCAACGCTGAAGTGCCAGAATTACCCAACCAGAAAGAAAGTCTGCTGCCAGACAAACCCGTGGTTTTCATCTTCACCATCAAGTGTGACCAAAAAGCTTCAAAATGCAACAAGTGGTTCAGAGCGAAGCAGATGAATACAAGACCCGCGACGGAGGGAGTTCACTGACCAGCGTTTTGTAGTCAATCTGTTGTCTGATGAGCTTGTCTTCGCTGAGAGAGTAGCGAGCTTCTCCTGTGATGGCATCAATGGGTCCCTTCTCCATCTGCTGCTTGATGGCACAGTACAGCATGAACAGAGGCTCCCCGGCACACTCCTGGAGAGGCAGGAAGAGGTAGGATGGCAGAGTTATCTCTGGTTCAACACGTGTCATTTTTCCTGTGGATCCTTGGAACTGAATCATGTTGAAATCACTGAAGAAAATCAACAATTTATTGCAATAAATGAAATAATTAGACATAAAAACATGAAACCAAGAGTTTGGGCCCATTGGGGGATTGGCAACACTTGACGTCTTCCTTTTTTGGTACTGTGCAAAAGTTTTGAGTCACTTCAGTTTCAACAATAAATTTCAAGTTTAGCTTAAAAAAAGATTCTCAAAATAAAAGTCAGTGAATATTTCATGGAAGCAAAGCAGAACGAGGAATGTTTTCCCACTTTTGCTACTGATCGACTTTTTCCTGAAGATATTTCTCAATCCTGATTTTGTCAAAGTTTTTCTAGTTCTTTCTGTGAGGTCAGGTCATCTGAGCAGTCACAGTTGTTAGAGGGGAAATGCGTCCCTTCCACCATCGATGACACTTTCCAATCAATAGACTCATTAGTCATCACTCGGGCTCTGAGAAAAGACTCCCAGCTGAAGTAGCAGCAGTTGGGACGGCAGAAAGAGGAGACGTCCCAGCCAATTCTCATCCTGACAAGAGTTTAATGACTGACCGCGCAGAGCTCAGGGAAATACTTCAGACTGTGTGTGTGTGTGTTCTTGTACATAATAATGAGGACCACTTTGACCATTTTCCCTACAATGTGAGGACATTTTTCAATGTGAGGACATTTTTGTGGGTCCTCACTTTTTTAGAAGCTTACCAGAAGCTTACTATATCAGTTAGAGGTATAGTGTGAATTAAGTTTTAGTTAAGGTTAGGGTTAGGAATAGATCAGTGTTGGTTATGGTTAGGGTTGGGGTATTGGTTAGGCATAGTGAAATCACAAAAATGAATGGAAGTCTGTGTGTGTGTGTGTGTGTGTGTGTGTGTGTGTGTGTGTGTGTGTGTGTGTGTGTGTGTGTGTGTGTGTGTGTGTGTGTGTGTGTGTGTGTGTGTGTGTGTGTGTGTATGTGTGTGTGTGTGTGCGCTGGAGAGTCACAACACCCAGAATTCAAGGGAAAATTATGGGTTTAACCATCCAACCATCAAGCAAACCTAACTTTCTGAACAAAGGCTTTTTCTCCCCGTGATGAGTCCCTCGCGTCTAATGATCATTAAATCACCAACCATTAAAACCTTTATTTTCCTTACCATCCCTTATTTCCCCACCTCTTACTCGTGATGCTCTCCATTACTCTTCTTCCCTTTCACTACCACCAGGGGTGCTGACCTTTAACCTAGACCTGCCCTTTACTTCCTCCTTCGTTCCACAAAGATAAGCTTTGAGAGACTCACTAGCCTCATAGACGATTAGTTAGTCAGCTGCTAAGAAGACGGTGTGGCCGGAGCGTTGTGCTTTTGCTTTGATGCTTTTGTGTCGTTGATCTTCCTCTACTAGATTTGTGTCTACAGGACACACCGACTTTAAGATCGCCTAACTTAATTTAATCATTAAAAACAAAATTTTTTCAGTGTTCTACACCTTTAAACATAATCTCACTTTGACTACACTATTAATATAACAATTATTACTCTATTACTCTACACTATTAATGTTAAATTATAACATATTGTGGAAAATGAATTTAAAACAGCACAGTGCACATTTTTTGTAGTTTTTTTTCCAGTTAGGAAGTATATTAAAATACATTTTCTGCACTTTGGTACCAGTGAAGTTCGGAACAATTATCAAGATAATAAAATGCCTAATTTGATTATATTTTCTTTTTTTTTTCATTCTAAAATTCCCTTCATTTGGTCCTTACTACACAAATACAGTAATTCATTGTCTTTCTAATCTGATTGGGAAAGTAGGTGCAAAGTCATGTCTCCTCGTTAAGACTTAATTGAAGGAGGATTTAGGGATGAGGTAGGTGGAGGGAAAGGCCATCCTACACCCCCGAGCAACCTTAGAGAAGAGAGGAGACTGACAGCGGGGAAATAAAAGAAACAGATGAAAGAATAACAAGATGGAGAAGCAACACACAGATCTGGGATGAGGATGTGTTGGCTTAATGAGCAGAATTAAGTAAACACATTCCTACCAACATCTGAAACCCTTTCATAACCTATAAATACTATCCATCTTATGTATGTCTATTAAATTCAACAAACCTCACTGGAACAAAAGGGCCGTACAAATGTTGCACAACATGAATGAAATTCAGATGATAATGTAATCAGGTCCTACCTTAAGGAACTTGTACAAGAGAAACGTAAACCAGTTGGTCAGCATCTTTTCAGCAACAGACTCCGTTCTAACAGGCAGGAAAAAAGAAAGTGACACTTGGGTTCCAACTACTGATAATAGGTGAAGACACAAAAACAACAAATAAATAAATAAATAAGCGACAACCTTGAAAGTCAGACCAGAAAATTATAAACCCTATACGGTTCTAGGAAATATGGAGATTTTGTAGTAAATGCCTTGGGCGATTTGTAGCCAAGTCACAACTCAGTGAGATACTGGTTTGATACAAGATATGTGATTGTTGAAAATATGAGAATTTCAGTTTTCAAAGTAATCATACATGAAAAAAAAAAGTTTCTTGTTTTTCAAAATGTGAAAATCAGCTCTAAGTGGTGGAATTTGAAGGTTTTTCACAGCCTAGCAAGCCATCCTATATGTACATATACAGTAGTCAGGCTACGACCCGTAGACAGAGCTCAGTCGTAGGCGCAAAATCTGCCATCATCTTACAAACTCATCTCTAGGGGCCACATGATGTGCTCAAAGCGAGAGAAATAAGTCAAAGGGGCAGTCTGCCATAGAAGAAGAATAAAGAGGTAGAAAAGGCCCAAGTCTAAATCATCCAGAGCTGCTTCAAACATCTGCCGTTCCTGGGCCACCACCAACTTTGTAGTTTTGCCCCATCATGGCTACCACAGTGCTAAGCCTGCCTAACACCCAGCCTGAACAACGCTGAGGTTACAATGGAGTGTGGCTAGCCCAACCTGCAGAGCTAAATCTTTTACTACTGCCACGGTTGTGGTTTGTTTTTATTTTAGGTGAGATTTTTTACCCAAAACCTATACAATGCATTTAAAAAGTACTAGTTTCTTACTTTGTACCACATAGCAATCCGTAGATCTGTACCCAAGCGAAGATGCATCCAAAGTTAAAAACAAAGTTTAGTTTTTTGTGTCTTTCCTTATTTGTCGCTAAACATTCTATCATAAAACAAAAAAGTAAACTAGGGCAGTTTTGGTCCTTTGATGACTTCTGCTTATTTTTACTGAACAGAGGTAGAACTTTGAGTAAATAAGGCCTATTAACCATGCAATGCCAAAATAAGAGTAAAATTTGGATCATTGACTCCCCCACCATCACCACGCTTAAATCAAACTACTTCCTTGATGTCCAATCTACTTCTGGTCTCCCACACGTCCCTCACCTCCGTAACAGCAGTTTGGGATGGTTTTTACTCTCCAGGTTCCTGTCAATCAGGTCAGACAACAGTTGTTTGAGGACCCCCGTGGCGTACTCCATTTCCCCCTGCAGAGCTGTCATGATGAGAGATGCCACGTTTCCTCGATCGCGCATAGAAAAGGACCTAAAATCACACAGAAACACATTCCTAAACAAATGCTCTCCTAAGCTTTTGTTGAATTGTTTGCATCTTTAGTTATTCTTATTTTTTGTTTGTCTATTTTAATGGAATGTTTCTATCTGACTGTTTTTAAATTGATTAGTGTTGCTTGTTTTACTTAGTTATCTTGTTGACGGACTACAGATGCAAATTAGCAACTATGCTATAATCTGCCCATTTACAATCGATACAGTGATTGTTTATTAAAATGCATTGTCCTGAATAAAGAATTGAATTGAATCGAATCACATATGAAGATTTGTTTTATAAAACATGTGCACCATTAACCTCACAGGGATTCTATTAAACACTAATGCACGTTTAATCTTAATTAAATGGTGCACTAGCTCTGTTTTGCCATAAACCATTTAGCTAATAGTGTTACAACAAAACTACAGCAGGATAATTTTCCCCCTGTTTCTACTAATTTATGACCAATCACATTCATTCATCTTTATAAAACAGAACAGGCAAAAAAGACCCCCCCCCCCCCCCCCCCCCAAGCCGATGGACCCTTTTCTTCCTAGAAAATGGCACTCATTACCACTGTACTAAGTATTAAAACATAGCATATTTATTTTAAAAATACTAACACAGAAATATGTTTTAGTTTAAAAAATGCAAAAAACCAAAATATGCAAAGCAGATAAACAAAGAAACAAAGACCTCTGAGCCTCAAGTGTTCGAATGAATGTCAACAAGAAGTGCTTCTTGGTCAGCAGCTGGCCAAACAGTGTGAGGGCCTTCTCAACGTTTGCCTGGACCTGAAGAAAAACAGTGGCAGATGGACAGAGTTACAGCAGACTCTAACGGCAATGACAAACACAAACTTGTTCTATTTTTCTTATGAAGATTGTGTAATTTGTTGGTTTTTATAATGCTGAGATTGGTTCTGAAGAAAATCGAAACTACCACAAAAAACAAGAAGTACTTCACCTATCCTTAGGGATGGGTACTTTTTACATTTGAATCGATTCAGTACTAATTCCCGGTACCTAGGAATCAATACCGGTACTTAACGGTACCAATTTTAGATACTTTTGAGTGTTTAATATTTTAAATCTCTTTTATAATTAAATATATATTTTTCTCAATACATAACCATATTTGATAAATATCATGATAAATAACATACAACTGTTTGTATTTTAACATCGTCCTTGTAGTTTTATAACCTGATAATTAAACTGAAGCAAACATCTTTACTGTGAACTAAATTTACTGTGTATCTTCATTCCTTTTGCCGTCCTTTTTCATTAGATTTTTCCTACTGGGAAGTTAGAATTTCCGAGGAGAAAGCGAATGCACCATTAGCTGATAACAATGGTGGCAATGGAAGCTAACATATCAAGCTAACGTTAATTTAAACAGTTTATTTAGCTGCTGGAGCAGATTAAAACGATGATGCCTCACAATTAGATCGTTGTCACTGTTTTCATCTTCACCCAATCACCTGTCGCATTTAGTAAAGTGAAGCCAAACTTTAGAGCACGTTCATGTTCTTCCAGTCAGAAATTCGGAGTTCCGAGAGGAACGCGAACGCACCATTAGCGGAACGGAACCTAACATATCAAGCTAACGTTATCTTAAACATTTTATTTACCTACCGGAGCAGATTAAGATGAGGATGTCTCACTTAGATCATAGTCGCTTGTTTCATCATCACCCAGTTACCCATCACATTTAGTGAAGTGGACCCAAGCTTTAGGGTGCTTTCTTTCTACCATGCTGCTCTGTTTATTACTCGCTCGCAGCAACTGATGACATAACGCTCTTGCGCTGGCGCAGCTGTCTAGGCAAGTTCTCGTTATGAAGGACGGGCACCGAAACGAGGCACCGTTTCAAATGACGTGAATCGGTGCTCAGTCGGTTCTATGGAATTCGGTCGGTACCTTAAAAAGTACCGAATTCGGTACCCATCGCTACCTATCCTGCCATAAATCATAAATGACCCACACTTGTATAGCATCTGTCAGAGTCAGAGGACTCCAAAGCACTTTACACTACAGTGTGTCATTCATTTATTTTAGTTTTTCCTCAATAACACGAGGAAAAAGTGTTTGAATGGTTTTCATAAAAAGGTCAATTATTAATCAACCTGAGGTAAGAACCAGGCTGAGATAGGAAACAAGGATGAACCTCAAATCGCAATATTCAGAGTGCAAAACATTAAATTATCTTTAAATTAAGGGACTTTAAATGAACGTGTTTATTTTACAAGATAAACCTTTAAGGGTGAATCTGAAATGGATGTTATGTACAGTTGTATATTTTCCGAGGTAAAAGGAGCACACCATGACGTCCGTCCTCCACACAGCATAGGCAGAGTAGAGTACACGCCGCACTGATTGCTACTGCCTATGGTGGCTGCGTTTGTGGGTTCGACTTTTTATAAACTCTATGGTTAACAGGATGTTTTGGCTAGGCTTTAGCTTCGTGGAGATCTGGAGCTGAAAAGTCCAAAGAACGTGTTCATAAGCCCGTTTGAGCACGCCAGAATGAACGCACTCACTTTAACGTTCACCAGGCAAAATACAAATGAGTTCAGTTCACGTTCACAAAAAAAAAAGAACAAGTTTACGAATGATCGTTTGGGCACAACACTACTTTACACTACAGTGTATCATCCATCCATTCACACACTGATGACGATGAGCAACATTATAGCCACATGCCATCAGTCCCTCCAACCACCACCAGCAGGCAAGGTGGGTTAAGTGTCTTGCCCAAGGACACAACAGTAGAACTGTCTGTCAGGAGCCGGGGTTGAACCTACAACCTTCCAATTACTGGACAACCCGCTCAACCTCTTGAACTACTGCATATAGACACAGAAACTGCTATTGCTCGAACCTAATTGGACTACATCTGATGGTGAACAACTGGCGAACCAAGACATTTATAAAACATTTGCAATGTTCACAATGAAGGTGCTGGGTTTTTTAACTCATTCACTGCCATTGATGACTAAAGTCGTCATTTTAGATCCAACCGTTCACTGCCAATGACGACTAAAGTCGTCATTTGCATTTTTTTACTGTTTGAGCATTGGAACGAGCCCCCGCGCTGAGAGAACAAACATCTCAGCCCTGAAGCCGATCTTCATCCGCATACGTCACAGATCACATGATCAGGAAGCAGACCATCCATGTGTTTGGAGATCGTTTTGGGCCGTTCCTGTAAAAAAAGTGAGGCGCGAACCGGAAAAGCGTCTGCCGATCGCAATTCGACAACGGATTATGAAAGAACGGATAACGCTCGAAACACGCGGATTCTTCCTGATGTAAGAGGTGAGTCTCCTCTTTGTTTAGGTTGTTTTGGCATCGACATCATGCTAGCGTGCAACGTTCTGTGACTCTTAAAAAAACAGTAAAAACGGTGAGAAACGCTGGCAGCGAAGGCCGTTAGCGATCAGGAAACGGCTGGCAGTGAATGAGTTAAATGAAAGTTTCTTAAAATAGTCACAAGAAGTCCAATTTTAGTTTTTGTGTTACGGAAAGGTTTTTCGGGCACGTCCAACCAGGAGGAGTCCTAAAGGAGACCCAGGACACGTTGGAGGGACTATGTCTCTCACCTGGCCAGTGAAGGCCTTGGGATTCTCCTGGAAGAGCTGGCCCGAGTGGCTGGGGAGAGGGAAGTCTGGGCCTCTCGACTTAGACTGCTGCCCCCGCGACCCGACTCCGGATAAGCAGATGAAAATGGATGGATGGATGGATGGATGGATGGAAAGCGTAAGAAAAGAGGTTTCTTCCTTTTAAAGAAGAATTTTCCTCTCCACTGTTGCTGCATGCTTGCTTAGTATGAGAATTGCTGTCAGGTCACTGACACAAGTATATGCAAGCATGAGGACTTTAAACTTTGCTCTATACTGCACTGGAACCCAGTGGAGCTATTCCAGTGCCGGAGTAAAGTGTTCTTGACGTATGGTGCCCGAAAGAATTCTAGAAACCGAGTTTTGAACATGCTGAAGGACTCAGATCGGCGTACAAGGCATTGCAGTAGTCGAGTCTGGACGGGACAAAGGCATGAATTAACTCGTTGCACTGATAGTTCCTTTAGACGACCCTTGTCATTTGGTCCTATATAAATGAACAATGATAACACTGATGATCACTACGTCCTGCTTCTTCACAAACATATCAAGTCTCAAGACAAATAGTTTTTCTATTATTTTAGAAAGCTTTAAGACAGATAAACATTTCATGACATCAATTAATTCTGAAATGGAAGATAGACTTTTTCATGCTGTAAAATAGGAATAACATGTCTTTAAACACCTTATTTTACAATAAAATCTAACAAATGTATTTAAATTAAACCCTAAGACACTTTTCATTCTTTCTATTGTTTCTTTGACTTGTAAAAGTACTGAAATTGTAACAAATACATATTGTGTAAAAGAACTGACTCATTCTGAGTAAAAAGCTTTTCTGAACACATCAGCCAGCGGGCATCATTCTCCCCGTATGATGAGCCAAGACAGGCTTGTTAAACAGCAAAGTAAGGCTGATTGGCTACTCCCTCCCCTGCTGTGCTTCTATGGGATGTGTTTGATGTCAAAAGATTTTAGCAGACAATTTAACACAATTGTCTTCTCAACATCAGGGGGGCTCAAGGGCTTAAACTTTCTTCTAGCTGAATATTGATAAGACGAGAAATTGGTAATTGTCTGCTCAGGCCACAAGTATGAGTTTTAAACGGTCCAGGGCTTCCTGTGAACTCCAGCTGTGTTATTGTCAGTGGCTAACAGCAAAAATTAAGACTCCAATCATCGTTTCTATTCACATAAATTATTTGCAGTTTATTAAAATTCAGATTCTTAAATTATTTTTGAAACAAGATTCGACAACCTGCTGTTAGTGGGAACTTTTGAAGAAAGTCTGATCAGGCTGGTCCAAACCAGTTTATCATTGATGTAGTAGAGCGGTATGTCTTTGAATAACCTCAGTTTGGATGAATAGATGAACTCTAAATGAATTGATATGCTAATGGCTAGTCATACTGGGTTCAGTTATAGTGCAGATTAGAGCTCTGCACTGAAGCCCGACGGCCCTCGGGTCGGCCCGGCCCGACAGCCCTCGGGCCGGGCTTCGGGCCAACGACTGTGTAATCACCTCGGACACGGGCCGGGCGCCTTTTATTTTTTATTGAATTCATTAAAAAAATTGAAACACTTAAACCAGGGGTCGGCAACCTGTTCCCAACAAAGAGCCATTATTACCCGTTTTCCACAGTAAAGAAAACACTGGGAGCGGCCTACCCTCAGACAGTAGAGAGCTGCTCACAACAGGTGACAGCAGCCAGTACCGGTCGCTCGTGTACGTCAAAGTTATCTTTCATAAGACGATAATCAATAAAACGATTTAGATAAAGTGGATCCAGAAGTTGTAGCCCGTCTCTGCCTACAATATTTTGATATTTTTCACCCTGTTGGTGGTTTTACTGAGCAGGTGCCACTTTTGTCATACGTTTCTTTTTAAAACATGTTTAGACTGTTCAGAATACAAATCCAGGCTCTGTCACGTTTGATTGTTGTAAATAAACTTTGTAGGTGGGGAAGGTCAGAAAAGGATCCAATCAATTTGTTTTTCCCTCATTTACAGTGACGGAGATAACGGCACAGTGCGCCTGGCTCTGGTGTTAATCAAGTTTAATTTTATCTATTTTCACAAGAAAACAAAACAGTTAAAAGCAGGGCTTGTGTTGACCGGACAGTTCCCGTATTTGACCGTTTATTTTGAAGTAGAAAGAATAGAAAGAACTA